GGGTTATAATTTTAGGGTAATAGATATATACCTTTGATTTTGGTTCACCTTCAAAAATAATTACCCATATATATATAGTAATCTATTAGAAAGCTATAATTACAAAATAATAATATCTATATAGTATTTTTTTTAAGGTTTTTTATTTAATAGTTAATAGAAAAAAAAGTAGTAATTAGAATTAATTAAAATGAAGTATAGTCTAGTCTATATATGTAATGAAATTAAATTTAAATATTTTTTAAAAACTATATTATTATTAAAAATAGTAAATTAATTAGAAATCATATTTAATAAAGAGCAAGGTGGCAAGGTGCTCTTTTTGTTAAGAAGTGTTATAGTGTTTCTCCCTTTCCTCTTGAACTGATTTTTTTTCTCTTCAAAATCAAAAGAAATTTTATCCCAATCCAGTAACAAGCTTTTTCTATTGTTGATTATCCTGAAAATGGTTGGAAAAAGAGATCTTGAAATTATTCACTGGTTGAAAGAAGCCATAAATCCTTGGAGATTAGGCTGGAAGAAAAATCACCAATTGAAATATTAATCCTCTTTAAAGGTTAGAAGTCTTCGAGTATAAAATTTCAAGAATTACTTTCCTGAAGTACCCTTAAATGTTCTTGGTTAACAATGGAATAGCAGAAATTAAATGGTTTGCCTAGCTGCAAATAGTGGTAAAGAATTTATTTCAATGAATTGAAGTTGATATTGGTGGATTTTTATTTACCAGAATAAACTTTTCTACTACCCTTTCAATTTTCCTTTAATTTCTTAAAAAATAAAATTTTTTTTTATCTCTTAGAACCACAGGTTTGTATTGGGGTGACAGTCTAAATATAGGCTAGCTATGATTTTTCTTAAGGCCAAGGAGCAGTCTTGAAAAAAAAGCAATTTTATTATTTCTTACAATTATACTTAGAGAGTTACATAACTCATTGACAGATGTTCTGCATTAGATACAGTTTAGCTCTAGTATATAGCCTTAGGATTCAATGTATTATTGTAATATATCTTTAAAGATTAATAAACATAGTAAATGCAGTCTGATTAGAAAAAAAAAAATTATATTTAATTAAAAATCATATTATTATATATAATAAAAATCAATAAGATAACTATATTTATAATTCAATTTGTATATTCAAACATAAGAAAGTTTTGATTAAGAAGTTGAACAAATGCTTTTATTTCATTTAAATCAATTATTATAAGATTAATTTTTAATAATTATCATAATATTAACTGAATAAAAGTTAATATATTTTTTTAATTTACAATATATCTGTTATATATATTATTTTTTATTTTTAAGAAAATATTATAAAACTTTTTTTAATACAGTTTTTTATTTATAAAATAAATATATTCTATATTATATTAAATTATTGTTTTATTTAAAAAATATTAATATTATTTAATTTTGCCAACAAATTTGCTTGCAATATAATTTAAAAAAATAAGAAACAAGTTTATTTAATATATGATAACTATTTTTGATTAATTATAATAATTTTTAAATAATTTTTTATTTATTAAAAAAGATTATTATTTATAGAAATTAAAAAAAATCAATAATTATTTTTTAATTATTTTTAATTTCTTTAATTTAACTTTATAATTTTATTAATTAAAAAATTTCAAGAAACTTTAAATATATATAGTATATAATATTAAAAAATTTATTAAAAATTAATTTAAAAAAATTAGATTTATTAATATAAACTTTTTTTTTTATAAAAAATAATAAATTTTATTTTTCAAACTATAGATTTATATTAAAATATCAATTTAAAATATCAATTAATAATAAATTTTAAATATGAATATAAAATATTTCTATATGTTATTTTTATTAAAAAAATATAACTTTTTTGTTTTATAATTATATATAAAGAATTGAGAAAATTTGAAGGTTTTAAATAATTAATATTATACAGTCATAATTTAATTAATCTATTTGCTTCTAATGAAACAATTAGTAAATAATTAGATATAAATAATATAATGATATTGATACTAAGGATTTAAAAATCATATACAGTCAAACCTGGATATAATGAAGCCTTTGGGCTAATTAGTAAAAATTGAAAAAAATTGTTTAAAAATTCAGTATAAAAAATTTTTAAAATTTTATATAATAAAATTCTCTTTTTATAATGAATTTTGAGTAAATTCATAATTCAAAAATTCGATATAACCAGCATTTTATTATAGCTTTGTTATAAACAGGTTCGTTATATCCAGGTTTGACTATACAAATTTATAAACTTATTGATAAGTATATTGTAATTAATAAAATATTTAGCTATAGTATAGTAATCTTTTGTATTATTATATTTTGATCAAAGTTAATAAATGTTTTCAAATTGCAGTCTAATTAGGAGTAATAAATAAATAAATATTTTTAAATTGCAATTTGATTAGAGTAAAAAATAAATAATAAATAATATTTTTAACTTTTTCAATATGATACTTTAGAATTAAGGTTTGTTTAAAATGTTACAAGAGAGTAATTTAATTAATAAATTTAATATTTTTTTTTAAAAAAAAATTTAAATGGGCTTCTTTGTAATTAATAGCTTTCTATAATCAATCTAAACCTGAGATTTAATTTTCTTGATCTTTGTGATCTCTTCAAGCACACCATCCTGTCGTACATCTCTTTGTTCAATGGCCAGGAAAGCAACCCATTGTTGCATGGCAAATTTATTCCAAGTGTACTGCTGATAAAAGCATTTGTTGCAAAATGAGTGTACGCTTGCGTGCAGCTAAAAGAAAATTCTGCAATCAAATATCAAAAATTTGGGCGCATATTTGTGCAATTAATGGTTTCTTAAAAAAATATTGTTTACAATAATGTTTACGCAATGAAAGCAGGGTGTGGCGAAAAAGTTTGCAAGAGCATGCAGCGATGCGATTTAGAGAGTACGTATGCGCCCATATACAATACGATTAAGCTTGCTGTGCAGGGGCGAATAAATGTTGAATAAACATTTTCCTATTCGGATGGGACTCGAAAACTTAACGATGTTAGTCCAGTGACTCGGTAGCAAGCTATATACGTGATCAAAGAAACCAAAAAATCTCTTTCAATGATGATAAAAGAAAATGGAAAGAACAGAAAATACTATAAAACGTCAAGAATTCAGCCCATGAGTCTTGTTTCCGCACACATTTACTTGCTTACTCGATAAAATCAAATAAAAAATTCTTGGTCAATTTCGCGTATACAGACAGACGTAAGATAAATTTCGGTTCCATTTACCGTCGATCCCACATCAGCCGTGATACTTCTTTCTGTGGTGACAGGGTTCCTCGTAGCCCTTGCAATCAATCTCCTCATTCTTCTTCCAATCATCTATTGCACTCGAGATGAAACCACCGTAGGCAGTTTTGGAGATAAACCTCATTAAATATAAGACGATGAGTGATACAAAAGATAGGTGGAAGGATAAATTAGAATGGAATAAAGATAGACATACTTCAGAGCTTACGAAACTTGTGTATTTAGGAAGAATCATTAGTTTAATAGAATTGCGGATCAAACATCACAATACCTCTTTAAAGAATTAAGAACATTCGTAATAAAAACAACTCGTTCCCATGATTTTTACATAAAGTCGTTCTTTTTCTTAGTCAGAAATGAGTTTGATTTGATATAGCTTTGTATTATTGATGGTAACAATGTTTGAATTATCATTATTACACCATTGCTAATAATTCAATAATCTTATAAAGTATAAATAAGTCCTGTTTTCGTATAATAAAGTATTCTGAAATTGGAAAACAATGTGAAATTTTATCAAAAAAGAATAAATGAAAAGTACCTTAGGCAAAATAATTAGATTATAAACTTATCGGAAATATCGGTTCAGGTTTTAATTGAAAATGCAAGATATCAAAAAAATTATAATTATTATAAAGAATTGGTTCTGCAGATTTGTATATAAGCTTGTTAAATGAATTCTTAACAAAAACAATATGGGGATTAAAAAAATTATAATAAAGAATTGGTTCTGCAGATTTGTATATAAGCTTGTCAAATGAATTCTTGAAAAAACAATATAGGGATTAAAAATTATAATATTTGGTTTGAATGTTAATATTAATAATATTAAACTCAATAAACTTGTCAAGAACATATTATTAATTATTATTATCTTTAAATTAATTAAAAATTAAAATAATAAAAAGAATTAAAAATGCAAAAAATACAGATTTATTTAATATTTAAAAAAAGATAAAAAATAAATAATAATTATAAGATAATTATATAAAAAAAATTTTAAAAATAGTATATCAGAAATATTCTTTGCAAAAAAACTCTGGATATCTTTGTTTTTTAAAAAATTTTCAGAAATTTTCAAAAGAATATTTTGAAGGTTTTTGAAAAACTTCAAAAATTTTAATAGCATAATAATTTGAAGATTTCTAAAGTAAATATAAAATAAAATATTTAATTGACTTTAAATATTTTACAAAAAATTAAGTTGATTTATTTTTCTTGAGTACTTAATAAAAATATAAGAAACAAAATTTTACTATAAGTTATTTAAAATGAAAATCTTGTAGAGTTTTTTGAAAATTTAGAATCTTTAAATTTAAAATATTTTAAAAATTGTAAAATATTTAAATTTTGAAAACCTTCAGAATACTGTGAAGAATATCAGAAGTATTTAAACTTGAGACTTATTTAAGTTTTCATTAAATTCATTACTAAATTTAATTATTAATATACTGTATATTTATTAATATATTTAAAATAATTTGAATATCAAAAATAATCTTTTTATAAAATAAACATTTATAAGATATTTCAATGAACTTTAAAATATTTTAAAGATTATAAATTAATTCTGACCAATAAATAAAAAATTTAATTTAAATCTGTATAAATTGTGTAAACACATATTTTTATATTATATTATAATTAAATATATCAATGTTTTTTGAGAATTATAAAAAAGATTATAATATAACAACATTTATGACTATATTTTAAAAATTTCTTCTATATAAGATTTCTAAATTCTTCTTTTTTTAAAAAACAAATGTAATAAATTTAATACATTAATTATAGGTTTTGAAAAAAAATTAAAAAAATAAAATTCTAATAAAAAATGTTTAAAAAAGTCTAATAAATTCAAAAATAATCTGATAATGTTAAAAACATTTAGAAAACTATATCATATAAAGAAGCAGAAGAATTATAAAAATATATAAAGACTTTTGAAACAGGTTTAAAAGTATTTATTCAAATAAATAGATAATTGTGAGCTTAAAAAGAAAATAAAAAATTTTCAAATATGTTATATTATTATTAAATAAATTTTTAATCGATAATAATCAAAACTTTTTTAATAAAACTCTTTCTGTTAATTCTTTTGCCAACTCCCAAAAACAGATGTTCTCAAAAATTTTTATTTTTTAAAATAATAAAGTCTATATACTTTCTTTAACAATATTGGTTTTTTAATTAGTAAAATAAGTAACAATTATTACTTGTTTTATTTTTTCCTTTTCAAAACACTTTTTTTGTTTTTTTTTGCAATTAAATACAAGAAACATATCTAAAAAACTTATGTAAGGCTCTAAAAAGTACTAAACTGATATTAAAATGATACTGATCTATAATAAATTTAATATATGGATTGTGACTTACTTATATGATTTTATAGTAAATTTAAGTATTAAACTGGTATCAAAATAATATTAAAGTGATATTATTAAGAGCCCTAGGCTTATGGCAAGAACACTTTTCTAGAAAGAAAACTAACAAAAAAAAAATATTCTTCAAAAACTTATAAGAAATTTAAGAATCCAGAAAAACAATAATAGAGAAATCTTTAGTCTTCCTATCATTTTTTTGACTTTTTATTTTTTCTTTTTTAAGCATACTTCCTTTTTTTTTTATTTTTTTGAGGAATTTTGTCTATCTCAATTTGACCTTGAATTTTTGATTATACTGAATCTTCTGAAAAATAATTGGTCAAGACCATGAATTGTTTGATCATATCAGCCATAGAAAAAATAAACAAGACATATACTTCTCATGTGTTTTCAGTTGTGCAACATCAAATCAATAATGTTATTGGTTTCTGAAAGAGTTAAATGATTTTTAGTTAAAAAAGTAATATAGAAGAATTAGATAAAACAGAAGTTATAAATAGAAAAAAAATGACACATTTTTTGTTTTTCTTTTTTTTCTTTTTCTATTATTTCTTGAAAATAGAAAGTAGCAACAAGATTTAGATCCTATTCCAATTTGACAACAAGTTGAAATATTAATATTTATTCTAAAAATAGTTGGAAAAAGGAGTCCTAAAACTATCTACTGGTTGATTAAAACAATAATTTCAAAAAGACATAATTTGAAAAAGAAATTAACAATAGAAAACTAATATCTTTTCTGATTAGAAGTCTTCAAGCTTAAAGTTTTAAAAAATACTCTTCTGAAAGTGCCTTTAAATATTTTTAAACATTAAACATTTCAATGAAAATTAAATGGTCTGGCTGATCATAAGTAATGAGAAGTGAGAAATCATAAGGAATTTGGATTTTAAATTTACTAAAACAATTTCTTTAATAATAGTTAAAATAGATAATAATTTTTTTCATTTTTTTTTAAATCATTTTATATATGCATAATTGTATTGTTTTTTCTCTTCTATTTTTTATTTTATTTTATTTCTTCTTTATATAGTTTTTATAAAAGAGAAGTGATACAATTTGAATTTATGGTTGTAATAATAAAGATAATCTGCAGGTTTTAATCCTATTCAAGTAATAGGATCTTAATCTTTTCTAATAGGAAAATAACATTTCACTTCTATAAATTATATCTAGAGACTTTAGCTGTTAATAGATGAGCTAGGTCAAAAAAATTTTTACTTTATAGGTATTTACATACTTGTAATAGTTCAGTATTTGATTAAATAAATAAATGACTCTAGCTTGATTATGGAATTAAAAAAATAAATAAATAAAATAAAAAAATCAAAGCTTTTTTAATATTAACTAAAAATGGATTCTTAAATTATTTAATATATAAAATTTTACAGATCAATTATATCTCTTTTGAAAAAACATAATTATTTATTTATTACTTTAATAGAAATATAATTTAAAAAAGATATTCCTCTAGTTTTTTTTCAATAATTATTTAGAATTAAAAAAAATCTTTACAACTAGGATTTTGAGTTATAGTGCTTTGAATTTGTTATACTATTCAAAATTATATAAACATTTTAAAAAATTTTGAAATAGAAATAATATACAGTATCTTTTAATTATGGGATAATAAATTTATATCCTGAAAATTTTTGGTTCATTTTCAAAAATAATTATCCATATTATTATTCCTATATTTCTATTAGGAATTAAAGTTAGATAATTTAAAACTGATAATAGAATTTCTATATTTTTGAATTCCTATTAAAACAAATTTTTGTAATTAATTTTTAATACTTAAAAATTTTAATTTCAAAATTTAATTTTAAAAAATTTTAAAAAACATTTTTATATAAAATTTATATTATTATATCTCTAGATTTTAAACTTTATTTTGATATATTATTTATTAATTTTTATGCAATAGTTTTTGAATAACAAATAAATAAATAATTCCAAAAAGTTTTGTAACACACTGTATAATTATAATAATTAATAAAAATTATATATAAAATATATTTTGTTTCTTAAAAAAAAGAAAATATAAATATTTGTATTAAAAAAAAAAAAAAAAAAAAAAAAAAAAAATCTTTTCCACAAATCTCAAAATTCCTAAAAATTTCCTTTTTTGGCAACACTTTAAAAAAAAAAATAAAAGGAAAAACAA